TATCTGTCGAACCACCCTAGCGCTAAGGACTTGCTAGCTCTTCAATGTTGTAAACATGGTTGTCCTTCAATGCACGGTCGTTTTGAGGAGATTACGTACCAAGCTGACGAGTCTGAGCATCATGTGACAAAGGGTGAACCAAATGAATCAGGCCAATCAGACTGCGTTCAATACCAAGAAATTTGGGGACAGCAACAACACGAAAGTCGTGAACTTAGTTTAGTAGGCTCGGGACAGATCCATTCTGACGAAGAATATGAGAAAATGGATCGCTTAGTCACAGTTGAAGATGAGCAAGATTCTAAAGTGGAAAACAATACAGCATCCGAAGAAAGAAATTCCATCAGAAACTTATCAGGTTTACATTCTATTTGCATGAGCCCGCCAATGTACCATGACCTCCCAGACAGTTACGAGAATGGAATTCAGAAGGATTTGAGATGGTTCAAAGCAAAGCACCAGATGGAGCTGAGGGAGCTTCGAGATGAGCAATTAGGAATCATCTCAACATCTTTGCCGAATGCAAGTAAAGAACACAAAATAGACAACGGGTTCTTATCATCTTTGGTATCAAACACAATACAAGGAATCAACAACATAGTTCTTTCAAAATCTTGCGCTTATGATCACCAGCACTTAACTCCAGATTTTCATGCTAATCTTGAAAAGAGCTGCCCCAATTCGGAACCCCAAAGGGCCCGAAATTGCGAGGCAATGGAGTCTCCCAATGCGGCGAATGTGATCACTGGCAAGAGTTTGTACACAGACTCACTGCTTCCTCACTCTCTTCGCAGGACAGTTTCTCTCCCAGTTGATGCTGTTGATTTATAAACTTGCAGAGGCACAAAACATGTATTCTTTTCACAAATTCCATGCATCATGTATGGTTACCAAGGCCAGGCCACTCCTTTCTTCATCAAGGGATGTGGCTTTCCAACAAACTGGGATGATGTGTTTAAAAATTCCGATTATATATATGAGGAAAAATGCAAGTTTTGAGGCCTATAAAGATTGTGTTCAACTTCATCATACTATTACAAGAGAGCTATTGGTTGTATGGGAGTCATGTATTATGAGAGATTAGTGTCATTAGATGTATACAACCATGACGAGAGAAACAGACACGTTATTCAATAATTGCATATAATTGATGATAGTAGATTATCATCTCAAGTCAAAATTCACGACACTCAAAAGAAATACAGCACCGAAAAGTCTTTGATTCTAAAATTTGAATACAAGAGGCAAACGCATTATCGTGGCCAAACTTAATGCATTTGTTAGGGACTTTGACTGAGATGATCGAAAATTGAAAAGTAATCTGAATTGAATTATTGGCATGTCAATGCTGAGTTGGCCAAAGAGAGGTTTTATCAGGATCTTTTGCAATGCTTCTTGTAGGACATGCCTGGCCCCTCCAACATGTGTCAATTATGAAGTGGTTTTTTCAATTGTTTGGCCCCCACAAGAACAAATAAATCATGCTCCATGCTCCATGCTCCATGCATGCTCTTCTACTTAACTTGCACAATCTGGTTGCCCATATTTTATCACCTAAAGTATATTGGCCCTTTAATATGGGATGATCCATTGGTCCACATACTAACTTCCCTAAGGGTGAGCTTACCTTGAAAAAGACATCTAAAGCTAATCTGAATCACATATCAAAACCACCAAACCATATCTTGTGCCAAAGTTTTACTCAGTCTTATGTTATGTTAAAGTGCTTTAGTTTGACATGCCAAATTTGGTACGGCTCTTAACTTATAAATAAAAGATCTTAAGGTCAATTTTATGAATAGTGAATTGGATTTTATGATTTAATCCAAATCATGCTAATGCTACGCTTAGTGTAAAATATATTTGTGTATTAAAAAATAAAAATAAAAATTCAAACTCCGTTTTTCATGCGTAACCATGCCAAACGAGGTGGTTTCAAAAATACAAATTCAGGTATTTGATGGATCTAGGAAAGTTGAGGTATTTGATTCGATTTCGATTTTAGATATAGATAATAAAAAATAAAGTCATAGAGCACGTCATTTACCTAGCCCCTTATGTACTTATTTGTTGTTTCTCATTTTTGTACATCACAATTTGACGCATATAAAGAAATAGTATGACAGTAATTCTTAAATATCACAGATTTAAATGTGATATGATAAGATAAAATCTTTGCATTTGAATTTGAATTAGAATTCGATTTAAATTCAATTGAAGAATCTATAAAATAAAGGTTTTTTCACACGTTTAAAATTGTAATTGACAAATTAGTAGGTATGACCATATTTTTTTTCCTTTTTGGGTTTATAAAACTGGGTGGCAAAGTGGAGGCCAACTAGTCTTTTCGTTTATTGTTTATATTGCATTTGCTGCCTTTGTTGGGTGTTGAATTGAGACCAACTCAAATGGTTTTAGCATTGCATTACTTTATGGGAAAATCTAGAAAGATATATAGATGCGTGAAGTCTTTGATGTATATCAATCGAGGCATTTTAGATATCAAAATTTAAATTATTTTTTTATAAATCATATAATGTACCGTTTGAGAGTTGGTGATTTTAAATCATTAAAAAAAGAGCATAATCATCGACTGCAGAAATCACCAAGGGGTGGCTCAGTGGTTGAGAACGAATTTCAACCCTGTATTTCACACAACACGTTCTGCGTTCGATTCCTGATACTGGTGAATCACATGACATGTGAAGCTAAAATGCTTCTGACTGAAATGCCTATGTGAATATTTCCAGCTCCAAAAAAATGAACTGTCATGGCGAAACCACCAACCATTGTTCTAGTCTAGGCCCCGCCTAGGCGCTAAGCGGCTGACCATCGTCCAATTAATCCTTAGACGTTTGAAAATTAAGAAATGGCGCCTAGACCTCCTTAGACGTCCACCTTACCTGCTTCGACCCCCCTAAGTCGAGACTCTCACTTGGACGAAAACTCGGTAACTTTCATTTTTGCACTTTATTTTTGTTAAATAAATTGTGAGAGATTTGTAGAATACTTGGATGTACCCTTATCATGTGTTTGTTCCCTATATTTTCAACGTGTTCTACTACTGTCATCTAAAAGGTGCTAAGTGCTAGTCAAGTGCTAAGTTGGGGCCTAACACCTAGGCAGCTAGACACTTATTTATACTATATAAATATAAAAAAAGGTCGTACCCAGTGCACAAGGCTCCCGCTTTATGCAGAGTCTGGGAGAGGTGAAAAACACAAAGGGGATTTGAATTTACCTAGTCCGCCTAAAACTCCGCCTAGCCGTCACTGAACTCCAGCTCACTCTCTAACTATTATCTAACGTTTTTTAGAACCTTGCCAACAACTCTTTATAGCATTTTTTTATATCAAATCAAGAAGAAGAAAAAAGCAGTTTGGGTATGCCTTTAAAAGATCGGACGGTTTAGATTGTATTAATCAAACAGCTTAATAAAACCAGATGATGATGACAAAATGTCTGATCAACTTTTTGATAATTTGACTCCAAATAAAGGAATAAACCAAATTAAGTGTCTGGTCAGATACGGTTCATGTGCTTGATGCTAGCCTAGACAACGATAGCCACATGCACACGACCATTCCAAACAATGAATCAGTCAATGACAATATTATGATAGAAATTGAATCTTTAAAAGTGATCCAGCGTAAACAATGTTCTCTTTTGAATAGTTGAATCTCTTACACCGGGTGAAACCAACGTTCGGTAAAGAGTGATGCAGCGATGATCAAACCAGTAGATTGTCAAGTGGACTGTTCGAGGAACGCTTACAGATTTTTACTCCTTTGTGTTTAAGTACTGGTTGACCCCATGCAAGTGCAACCCCATTATATATATATATATAAAGGGATAAGCTGGTGGCTTGACACTCCACCCTTTTGAGGGCTGGAAAGACTTACAGAGTTATTTCAACCTCTATGGCCACCATCGTGCAATTCATCAGCGCTAAGAATCGAACCTATGACATGTTGTGGCATACGGGCCTAAAATTAATTCCCAACCACTGAGCCACCCCGTGATGATTAAATCCCATTATATAAGTCAGATTCATTTGAGTTTAGGACCTCCTACTACAAGTTATGGCGTTTGAGTATGAATAGAAATTGAAACGTGAAAGTCCCAACTAAAAACACAACCTTCTTGTGGTGGATTCAGAAAATGACCTCCACTTCATAGGTTGGCACAAGACACCATCATGAAAACATGATTCGTGTAAGAGAATTATTGAAGTTGGACCAGTCGGGTTCAACCCAAGGCAATCCACAGATACAAAGGGTAGCTAGTTCAACGTGTAGTGTCAATTCATCCCATCACCTCAGCTTATAGAATCTTAAACTTTGCGGCTGCAACCCCCCATCCCTATCCAAGATCCAACCTACAGCCGAAAGATGTAAAAAGAAGCCTTGAGAAAAGTGCCATTGGGATGCAGTTCCCACTTCCCAAAATGGTAGGGAATGTTAGGCAAACTCCACAATATGTGATGGAAGAAACTAATCCTAAAGCTTCTCCCAACCCTTGACATGTCCTTTTCATACACCTAATCAGGAGAAACTTACCAACGCTAGGTATGCCATTGTGGTGATATCTCAAGCGAATCAAGCAATGCAATGTGTTTTGACTTTCCCACATTGGCAGTGTGTGATTGGCTTAAGACATCACAATTGCATGAAAGTTCTACTCCTGAATGGGAGAGAAACTTTCCTACGCCTGAAATGCCATTATGGTGGTATGCCAAGTGAATTACACACTGCCAACGTGTCAAAAGTTACTTACCTACTCCTGGAACGTCATTGTGGCACTATTCCAAGTGAATCATGCGTTGCAATGTGTATTAACTTTCTACATTAGCAGTGTGATTAACTTAGGATACATCCACAATCGGATCGCATGTGCATGAAAGTTCTCGCTTACTAGATAACCGCTAACCGAACCAAACCATTAGCAACCTTAGCAATACAACTTTACAAGCTCATACATAGAAGGTATTGTAGCTTTTGTTGCAATTAAAAGCTTACTAGTCTTCATTACTACAACAAACATGAACTATATACTATATCTTGGGAAGGTATGTAGTCAAATTCTAGCTTTTGTTACATTACATTTACCAAAGTACACCTCTATTACGAAAATGATTGTAATTAACACGAAGAAACTCTATTCTAAATATAGAAACCTCAGTATAAAAGTACACAAAAAGACACTCTTAGACATGTATAATTTCTGTACATCGCGGATATCCCCCAATGAAATGGCCCTTCATCAATGACTCAATATGCAGTTCAGTTGTACCTCTTGCAGGATAGTGCAGGGTTGCCCGAATGTCCTCTCATAAAGGCCTCAAAAGCGGGTAGTCTTCAAGTAGTTCCCGCTCAGACAGAGTGTCAGTTTCATTCTGAGGAGTCCACAAGACCTCTACTGCCTGCAAGAAAAAGAACAAGATGTATATGTATCAGCTGAGCTCCGATTTAGCAGAAAAAATTTACGAGTTCAATGAAAGTATTGTTACCATTATTTTGTTCGAGGGAATGGATCCAAGCTTTTGCAATGCTTCCTTCAAGTCACCACTGCCATTGATGGCAGGCAACTTATGCACTCCTTCAGCAGCCACCAATATTGTTATCTGATTGAAATTCAGACAGAAAACAGGTCAGATATTAACAATTCTGTTCCCTAAAACAATCCCGAAACTATTCAACTCAATTATGAAATTTTATGTTATTTCCTCAAACACTAGAGGAGAGAATTTTTATATTTGTATGGTATATAATCTCAGATGTATGATATAAGCATAGTAGTCACTTTTTACATTTAAAACAGTATAAGTCATCAACAACACCAAAATAAAAAGAAAACAAAATAGATTTTTGCAGACCAAAGACGAGGTCAAGAAACATTCATCATCCCAAACGTTCATATTCACAAATACTTCCATGACAGGCCAGCAGGGCCTCCATAACAATGCTTAGATTTGGAAATACTGATTTTAATAGAATGTTCAGGGCTTAACTAGTAAATAAACAACACAGGTTCGTCCTTACCACTATATATTCGTTGCGGAATCCATTAGCACTCCGGCTCGTTGAGCTTTGCTTTCTTATGTTGTTCACATTGACAAGTGTCTCTTCGTCAAATTTACCCCTCTCTTCGATAGAAAGCTGATTAAAGCGTTTCTCTGCATCCTCTATGCCTCGCTTTAGAGCAGCCTACAAGCATGACAAAAGTTATAATCCATGTCCTTCACATTCCTCATATCTATATGAAGTTATACTTTCTGTTTTCCTCCATGCATCCATAACTTAACAATTATAAGAAAAGCTCCAATCCAGATCGTGCTTCAGACATTATTCCACCAGACCAACGGTTTTGATTTCCTCTCACTTTTTCTGGTTAACAATAAAGTTAAGGAGTATAATATAGGCACCGCCATGACACTATTATCTATGTTTTCATCAGCATAGATCATGCCTCCTCTCGCAATTTGTAAGAAAGCTTTGCATGTGTGCACAAGACATCAAAGTGCATTAGTTTTAATCTTTAAAAGTTTAGCCTAAGCTGTTTAAATTACTTGACAAGTAGCTGCCACTACCATATGCTATCTCACATATGTCTTAAGAGAGAGATGAATTCCTTTGATTTATCATTATCTCTTCCTATGGGTTTCCACCTTCTCAAACAATGGTAGGCAACAACAATGATGCACCAGATATCAACCAAGTACGCCAACAGATGATATTGAACTTACAGATGAATGACCGGAGATGCAATAATCTGGATGTCGTAGCAAAGCTAGTGTTGTCTCTGCAATTTTAGTAAAATTTGCATCAGAATCCCGGAAGGAAAAGAAATCAAGAATACAAAATAGTAACTCAACATTCTGGGTATGGTAATGGATCTAAATATTAGTTTAACTGAAAACCCAATCCTAAGAGCTCGTTTGTATTATGCAGGTGTGCGTGAATAATAATATATATAGGTTCACCTGTCAAAACATAGCCCAAACCATCAGGGGTAGAAGTATCAGCAGTTTCAGCAATCCGATTAAGATCCCTTTGGAGCGTTCGTCCCATGCCCAACAAACCAACCTTAGAGAAGGAGAAAAATTGATAGTGAAACAATAGACAACAAAATGTTCGTTGCCACTATAAAGTGAAATTATAGCACTAAATATCAAATTTCCAAATTGCATGTATGATCCCCTACTCTTATCCTCGTTTGAAGGTTAAAGCCAGTCGATGTTGCTATGTTTTACAAATACCCGCGCACTTTCCAGGGAGTAGCTTCAGATGCTTTTCTCCAAACCCCAAATACTCAGTTATCTTAAAACATCCATCCTAGAGTATGCTTACTTACAACCATATCATTTCTTGATCCCCTAGTTTTTCTACTTATAGAACAATCAGCCCATCCTTTAACATGTACCGATCAAATAAGGCGAAAATCCCCACAGTTTGCCACTTCAGCACAAAAATCCTAGTTCTACAGCCAAACCATCCATATCCAAATTGAATGCAATGAAGGGCAAACAAGTCATTGAACTTAATAAACGAACAAATTTCCAACCTAACAATTCATGGGGTCATATGTATAAAGATCTCTAATTTAACAGAGGATTTCAAATTGCATAGCAGCAGCATGATAATATACATATAGATACATACATATATACATACAGATATGTCTGCAGAGTGAAAATTACAAGCATTCAATCAAACCTGAAGCTTGAGAACGCTTGTTTTCTCAGTAGCAGTAAGCACACTTCCCTCAGACCGATCCGAAAGGAACCCGGAAACCAAAACAAACGCCGCAAAACCCGTCAAGATCAGGAAGAAGCTCGACCCGGCTCCAACTCCGAACCCAAATGCCGGCCCCACGTAAAATCCACCACCCCCGCCACCGAACCCGAAAGGCGAAGGCGCGTAGTACGGCGCGGAGTACGAAAAACCGGGCCTTGAGCCCGGAGTCCTCGGCACCGAGTAACTCCTCGAGGACGAAGAGGAAGACGACGAGCGCGAAGAAAACGAGCTTCCCCCGACCCGACCGCCCGAGGCGGCCAATGCCGAATTGGGGTCGGACATCAGCAGCAGACCCAACAACACGGCGACCATTGCCGGCTTTCTCAACGCCTTCATAGCTTCCAACAGCTTTCCGGCGATAATCCCAATTGGGTTTGCTGGGTTTTCTTCGACGACAAGGGACTGGGATTTTGAGTCGGATAACTGCTTAAAGCATTGAACTTTGAATTTGCAGGGGATTTTTTGGATTTGGAAATTGAAGTTTTTGAATTTGATTGGGTTTGTGGGGAGGGGGCGGAGACGGGGGAGTAGATTGTGCTGCTTCCATTTCAATGGGTTGGGTTGGAGCAACGAAGCTGCTGCCGCCATTTGAAAACTGTTTTCGAGACGAGTGTTTTTGGAATTCAGAAATCAAAAGCGTGGACTGGTTTTTGTTTTGAGAAACGGAATTTTGGAGGAGGAGATATCAGCTGGCCTCTCTGATTCGTTCAATCTCAGCCTCATTTTCTTCGTCCGTGTCTTTTCTCATGGATGAACCCATGAAGATAATAGATTTTCCACGTTAAATGTTTGACTTATTTTTAGCTCCAACCTTAAAATTTGATTTTTACTCTCTGTAACTTAAAAATTGTCATTTTATTCTTTAAAATTCAAAGTTTGCTTTGCTTTGCTTTGTCCCTTAAAACTCTATTTTAATCTCATTTTCACTCTCCTGAAACTTGAAAGTCGTATCTATAACACTCAAATTTACTCCACATTGCCAGATCTGTTAATTTCTTGTATAAGTTTGATTTGGGTACCCAGGCTAATCATTTCCATCTCTTCATTTTCTTTTAAATTTCATATTTTATTATTGTTGAATGCCAACGCAGAGTAGAGCTTTATAATCAAATTTATTGCGCATGTGACATAGTCTTATTGGGTGTTGGGTCCCATATTTGTTTTAGGAGATGACTTATAAGTTTTAGGAAGAAGAGAGAGTCCATAAGTTAAAGTAAAATGAATTTTGAATTTCAGAGAGTAAAGTGTTGATATTTGAGCTACATGAGTAAAGTGAGATTAAAATAAAATTCTAAGGGAGGTAGCTAAAAATAAACCTTATTTGGCCACTCTAAAAAATCCGATGCAGAACCATAAGTATAAGAATGGGTTATGTTCGGTGGACTTTTAGTTTGTCTAACCCCTCTGAGTTGCACTCCTAGTTGAATCGTGGACCGACTTCTTGTTCTGCCCGAATCATGACTTGGTGTCCAAGTCCGACCCGAATTATTTACAGCCTTTGGGCCTGGCCTACAAAAAAAAGAGAGTTAAACGTAGCTCGGCCCAAACCGACCGAGCATCGACTGTCTCCATCCTTCGAAACCCTAATCCAATAAAAGCTAAACTCTTCCAACTCTCTCAACTCCCTCTGCCGTAGCTGCTGCGACTACTCCATTTTCCGCCTCATTGCCCTCTGGTTAGGTATCTTCCGGTCTAATCAAAACCAACCATGGCGGACAAGGCAGTCACCATCCGAACCAGGAAGTTCATGACCAACCGCCTTCTCTCTCGCAAGCAATTCGTGAGTTCCTCCATCATTTCTTCTTTTTTGCGTCTAGCATTTAATTGGGTTTTGGGTTTTGGATCTTGTGTGTGTATTTGTTAGTGGGTTGAGCTGTTTTATTTCTTTAATTTTGTTAATTTTCTTTGTAAAGTTGCGTACTTTAATCTGGATATGTGATTTTTCTTATGAAGCTGTTATTCACCCAACTGGTGATTTGGCTACCATTATTTTTTTGTGATTTTTCTCCGTAAAGTTGCATGATTTGATCTGGATTTAGGGTTTTTTTATGTACTTATTACTCATCCAACTGGGGTATGTTGGATTGTAGGGGTTTAGTGAAAAATAAGAGGTTTAAATGATTTGTTAGAATTTTGTGTTGTCAGCTTTCCGTGATTAATCTTCTCTTTCGGGGTTAATCATAATTCAATTTTTGCTTTTGTTCCATGTAGGTCATCGATGTTCTTCATCCAGGAAGGCCAAATGTTTCAAAGGTATTGCTTTTTTTTTTTTTTTTGCTTTCTTTCAGTTTTCAGCTCTTACGTACTTGCATTCAATTGTGTCTGATCGACTGTATTTATGGCTTAACTTGTCATTAGTTTGTTTACTTTAATCGATACGGTTATGTTAGAACTATGAACTTGTACAATAGCAATTATCTAACTGTTTCCATTTGAGCAATTCTGAGGTATGTACTTACTCACGGATTGAATTTGGCTTTGTTGTTTTGTGAAGGCTGAGCTGAAGGAGAAGCTTGCAAGGCTCTATGAGGTCAAGGACCCGAACGCAATCTTTGTGTTCAAGTTCAGGACTCACTTTGGTGGTGGCAAATCTACTGGATTTGGATTGATTTATGACTCTGTTGAAAATGCGAAGAAGTACGAGCCCAAGTACAGGTTGATCAGGGTAAGTCCAGAGTTAATTGATAAGTTCATATATTCTAATTTCATTTTGGCTACCTAAACCATAGGACATTGCCACCGCTAGAAATGTAGATTGCTATGTTGAAGTGATTTGATTTGATCAACACCCGGGTGACTCCTAGTGCACATTGAGTTAATCTAAGTTAGAATCGTAGAGCTGTTGATTGTTTATTGGTTGTGTTAATCAATGTATCTTCTAAGAGGTATTTTTTGTTAGCTCTTTTCATCATACGACGATTCAAAATATTCTCATTTTCTATATTCATTTTCCATGAACAAGTAAAGGTTTTTTTTTTTCACATCATTGTTTGATGATTGGTTAATGCCGTCCTATGTGTTTGTTAGTATCTTTTCTTTTCTGGCGTGCACTAGTAGTTGAGAATAAGTGGATACTTAAGTCACCTGTTTTGATATACTAAAGGTGGGAGTACGAGTATGGTCATGTTAACCCAAACATTTTCTTTCCATTTTCATTATTGGTTTCACGTTTACGTTTTCAGCATATAGTAATTTTGCTTATCAGTTCTGCTTCTATGAGTTCAAGCCACTAAAAACATTACTGTTTTATATTGCAGAACGGACTTGATACCAAGGTAGAGAAGTCAAGGAAGCAGTTGAAGGAGAGAAAGAACAGAGCCAAGAAGATCCGAGGAGTAAAGAAGGTAAGAAAGTCACTTGTGTTATTTTCTTGCGTGATTCTAGTTTGATTTCATTACCTTGCTTCTTACAACGATTTTGTTCATTTTTTCGTGCAGACCAAGGCATCAGATGCTGCTAAGTCAAAGAAGAAATGAGCATTGGTGATTTCGGTTCTAGTTTCTGTTGCTCATATCAGCACTGGGCTTTTCTTAAACATATTTTGCCGTTAGGATGCGTTTAAAATGAAGATTCTGCTGTCAGTGTGGATTTTTAGAGTTCCATCTACTATTTAGTTTTTCTTTTCCTTCCAAAATTTCAGTATTCTGATGAGGACAGATTTATTATATTAAGTAGCAACAGATTCATATTATTTATCTGACTTCCGTTTATTTGTGATCTCGAAGTGTTCTTAATCATCTAACGAGCGATAATCTAATCGTGGTTAAAAAGCTCTTTGATTAAAATTTCGGTCTTGTTGGACCGGTGAACAACTGATTAAACTTAAACACGAAAATTAAACTGTGTTTAGGATTTGGCATCCTGTTCTATAAAACTCATGAGCCTTGCCGTAATACTTGCTGATGAATCGATATTTAGCTCTTGAAATGTCAGGAGTTTCCGGTGTTTGCCCAGGGTAGAACTTGTAAACCCTCCTACTTTCGAAACCCCCTTCTCGGCTCAAGCGCCTAAGGGTGTTTGGCCCTTTGTCCGAGCTCCTTTGTTCAACTCTCCCGTCTACTATTCGCTTGAACAAAAGAAAAAACACTACTGCTACTATCTTTGTTCTCTCGGCCCTTTCTCTTTGCTTCAAATAGCTTGTCCTCCACATACTCCTTCAAGCCAGCTTTTACGATCGGAGGCAACTCATCATCTCCTTCTATCGTCTCCTCTATGATGAACTTGGCAACTTCATCCACCACTCCTCGTGCCCGACAGTCATCTTCTTCCTCCTTGTGATCATCCAAACACGGAAAGAAGTACGGAAGTTTCACGAAACTTTCATCCTTCGTGCACTTCAAAGCATCGCTTCTCCTCTCCGTGCAACCCAAGACAAATACTTGCGGGTACTTTATCACTTGGGTGTCTGAATCTCTCTTGTACAGAGGAATGCATGGAATCCAATCCATGTTCAATTCTTTCATTGTAACCCTAACTTCTGCTCCGTCGACTGGCTTAATCGTCAGCTCATCCGAAGGCGGGTATGGCGATACAACAGCCACCAAAACAGGGACTACAACTTCATCCTTCCTCTGCAAATGACATTCAGTTGTGCGGAACAGATATACGTTGCCATCGTTACCAATGACCTCATGATTGAGCCTTCCATTCTCTTCGAATGCTCGTTTGAGATTAAGGAAATCCCACTTGAACTCTTTGTGTACTGAGTCCATCCTGTGCCAGCCTTTTCCGACAGGAAACGCAGTCTTCCACAGGTCTTTCAGTTTTCGGGGATCCTCCACCAAGTGCTCGGGTTCCGGTTTGGATTTGGGTTCGGAAGCTTTCAGCCGCTTTTGCAATGGCCGAGTAGGTTTGCTGCTGTCTGCAGGTTTCCGGCTTGCCTTTCTCTTTGCTCCTTCTTCAACCATTGCAACTTACTTTGTTAGTAATAGTCTAGCGAGAAGAAAAATACTCAAGATTTTTAGAGAGAGAGAGAGTAAAAATTCAAAGGCAACAAGTGGGGGGACAAAAGCTGAATTTTCTACCTTTGAAAATTCAACAAAGCAAAAGGAAACATAATCATTTGTCTCCTCATAATGATGTTCCCACATCATTATGTTCTTCATTTTTTATTATATGCACCGAAAGTTTTTTGGACACTTGGCCACTAATTCAACAGTTTTCTCGTACACAACTATTGACAAAAAGCTAATCTCGCCTAATCCTTCTATATTTTCACTTAAAAATGGCATTTCGATCAAATGTGCAGTCCACTTATGAAGTTATGACAATTTTTTGGTTACGTATGCGTCAAGAAAAGAACACATACAAGTTAAACACAAATCCACCTTTTACCAGGATTCCTATTCCAAATAGGAAATGGAAGAGGAAACCAATAAAAAGCGAATTGAACGTAAGTCATTCATTTGTCCTAACTCTTCAACTCCGCCGTCAAAAAAGTGAGAGAGAGAGAGAGAGAGAGAAGGTAGCTAATATGGAAGCGAAATCAGCAGCTCCTCCGTCTTCGGTTGCTGATCTTATTCTCCACCGTGGGGGCGATGTTAGCGACGTAGATTTCAATATTCTTGAGAGAATCCTACCACATTGTACTGTCGACCAGTTGTGGACCATAGAGAAGAGTACGAGAGGAAGAGATCTGAGTCCCGTTACAGATAAGCTGTGGGAGAAAATCTGTGAAGCGAAGTTTGGTGCTGATCCGAGGATCGAAAAGATTAAGAGAGTGAATGTCGTATTCAGATGGGTAGACGTGTATGAGGCAAAACTGGAAGCTGACAGGTTGAAGAGTCAGGGGCATCAAATATTGGAAGCTGCTCGAATACAAGTTCCTTCATCGTCAAGCAATAATGAAAGAAGTAGCTCTGGGAGTGGCATTAATAATGTTTCTTCCAGAAAGGGTAGCGTGCCGATGAAGAAATTGAGAAGTGAAGTTCGTAATTGTCTCGAGGTGAGAAATCGTAAGATCATGAAGAATTACAGTTCTGCGAAAGATAAATCGACATTCAAGCCAAGCGATATTATTGTTTTGGATGATTAGGCTAAGCTAAAATGTATGAAACTTAGTTCTCTTTTTGGGTTTCAACTACGTGCTCAATAGGCAACGGTTTGATTATTATTGTATAACGAAAATCATCCAATTTGGTTACTCAATCTGTGAATTGTCTTTGTAATACGAAGAGAATCGAGTCTTCCTTCATTACATGTGAAATTTTGGCTTTGTTTTCTCGAATAGTACATGTACGTCAATAATATTAGAGCTTTCTTGACCTACAAGTGACCCTTTAACACATTGATCCGCCATAAAATCATCGAGTCGCTATAGCGGTGTCAGGTCCATAAACCAAATTAGGGGCTAAGTCGCTATATTAAGACAAAATTAGGCAAAAGCTATAGGATAAAAATGATCAAAGTCATTAATTATTTTTATGAAATTAAAAGATTTGGAAAAAATCATCTCAAGTATGAAATCTAAAAGCATAGAAGATTAACATAATTTCAGTATTGAATAAAGAACCGGGGTAGTGTTGCCAAGGAGCTCATGATAGAGATCCCTTCTCTTCGAATGTTCGTTCGGGATTTTATCACATAATAATTAAGTGTAATGAGAATTATAACCACTCAATATAAGTTATATTTAATTTTGTCAATTTTTCGATGTAGAATTTCAGTATTCTTCAAACTAGACTCGAATATGTTTACGGGGAGAAGCACAGTGGGAGTATGGAGATTTCCTAATCCAAGTAGGTATTTTTACCAGTTTTGAAGATCACTTACTTTCGTTAACTAGTCTTTCTTAATTACCAAGTTTAACATTGACCAACTTTAATTAGGGAAAAGTCTCCCATATTGACAAGGAATTAGAATTAATCCAACTTTAATTAGGAAAATTGTACTCGTTATAAATAAACTAGATCGTTAAACTTTCTGTCTCTCTTTCTCTCAGTGGCTCTGAGTTCTTAACTTCAATTGTTCTTATACAACTATTATTACTGCAATGGAGAAAGGAGGAAGTGCAAAGAGGAAGGCTAGCCAGATGCCGGAATTTGAGGACAAGAAGTTCACTCGGCTACTGCAAAAGCGGGTCAAGACGTCCCAACCAAAACCTAAACCCGAACCCGAGCACTTGGAGGTGGAGGAGGAGCCCCGAAACCTGAAAGACTTGTGGAAATCTGCCTTTCCAGTAATGACATCGTGGTGGGAATTGGACAGACTCTACAGCAAATTCGACTGGGATTTCTCCAATCTCGAACGAGAATTCGTACAAGGGGGGAAATTGCATCATGAAATCCATGGCGAAAACAACAAGAAAAACGTCTACGTTTTTGTCACAACCGAGCCTCACATTGTGGAAGGCCCTCCATCATACAAATGCGAATCGATCCCTGTCGTGGTGGCCATCTCATCGCTTTCCCCTCCTTCACAAGAACTAGCCTACAAGATAACTGATTTAAGCAGGCCGGGAGGCCGCGAAGAAGCTATAATTCCGATGAAAGAGATGAAGATGGGCTGGATCCCGTACATTCCTATGGACAAGAGAGATGCCCAAGTCGAGAGATTGACAAAACATTCTCTGAAAATATATTACTTGGGGTGCAAGCAAAGAAAAGCAGCTTTGGAACGCCTCGAAAGAGGCCGGTACTTGAAAATTCAATACTCCGTGCCATACATAGTCGATCACAATAGTGTGGAGGAAGAGAATGAGCAAGATTTTGAGGTGGAGCTACCTGCGGCGGAGTATGCAAGGGAGGAACAAAAGGAAGCAAGAAGACCGGCATTTGCTAAAATGCGAGAGGAAATGGCCAGGGAACTGGCACTCGCGAAAAATATGAGGATTTACAAGTTCTACCCCGTACAAACGCCGCGTACTCCTCCGGTTGAAAAGAAGCTCGCCAAAATCAACAACTACTGTCGCGACGCCGATGAAGTTTTTTGATCACACAGTTTGATTAGTGGTTGATTATTGCACTAGCACAATATTGTAACTAATGATGATCATTATTTGGTCCGTGTGGCAAAGTATTCCAGTAAATAAGAGTATATTTCTGCGCTTGAACTTTGAATTGTCTCTAGCAATTGTTAACAAATGCTTCAAAACCTGGACTAAATAAAAACCCCTCATCAATCAACTGTTAATGTCGGGTGCAGTAATACTAATAGTTCGGGACTTGGGTGCGATAATGTTTGAGATTATGAGGTTTTTTTTTTTTTGGCAAAACAATACATCTATGTGTTTTCTACTGTGCAGTACAGTTTGACGAAACCTGCATTTAGTTGCCCCTAGTTTATGACAAATTAGTTAGATGTAACCGGGGTAGTCAACCTGTCTGAATCTGTTCGTTGTAAGTAAAACCTCTCATAATTTACGGTAAATTCATGAGAGTAACCGGAAGGATCTCTCCTAATTTATAATATTAAAATTTTAAAAGATTTCCTAAACTTTTAGGTCTTGAATCTTGATTGTAATACTCAGTCATTTTTTTATAAAAAGATAATACTCAAATAATATTATATATGAAAAAAAATGTATAACCAGAAAAAAAAATTAATTACTTGTCTGAATTACTCAGATTATTTACAACAATTTGAAAAAGGAAACATGAAATTACCAGGATTCCTACTTCCACCAGGATAAGAATTAGAATCCAAACCCTAGCAGTACTAGTAGTCCCAACAGGAAAAGGAAACCGGACCTGATCGTTCCCTATAAATAAAGCGATAGAAATCTCACTTGAAATTAGAAACCGAACCCTAAACTCCCAACTCAAACAACTGAGCAAGTGAGCAGGGAGAGAACGAGAAAGAGAGTAATGGCTAATGTGGAAGCAAAAGCAGCAGCTGCTCCTCCGTCTTCGGTGGTTGACTTAATGCGCCGCCATGGCGGGGATGTTAGTGGAATAGATTCCAATCTTCTCGAGAAAATCCTACCGCAGTGCACCGTGGACGAGTTGAGTCGCATAGAGAAGAGTACCGGAGGCAGAGATTTGAGTCCTGTTACCGATAAGCTGTGGCGGAAATTCTACATAGAGGAGTTCGGTGCTTCGATGGCTGATCAGGTGGTCGAAAACATGAAGACCAATACGAACGCCGCATTCAGATGGAAGGAGCTGTTCGAGAAGAAAGTGGAGGAGGTGAACAAGAAAGAAAACAAGGCGGCTGAGAGGTTGAAGAGCCGGTATCAGATGGAAGCGGCTCGAAAAGAGAGCCGACGAGTTGTTATTTGCACAGAGGCGGAAGCTCCGTCTTCAACAGGGAACCACAAAAGAAGGAGAAGCGAGGAGGTTCCGTCATCTCCAAGCAACAAAAGAAGGAGCAGCAGCGGCAGTAATGTTTCTGTACATAAAAAGGCAAGCTTGATCATGAAAAAGGCCAAAAGAGATTTTCTCAACTGTCTTGAGGTAAAAAATCTTGCAGCTGTGGCAATGGCTAAATTGCAGAAGAGTTACCGTTCCAAGAAAGATTCGACATTCAAGCGAAGCGCCATCGTTTCTGAAGATCACGCTCCGAGTTTCGACTCTTGCTCAATACGCAACAGCAGAACTTGCTTGATAGCCTAGGCCTTTTGATAAAATCCAGTCCCACTTATGACAATGTTCTATTTTCTGAGTTTATTACTTTTTGTGACTGTTTACGAAATTCGCAAATTTGATTGAGAATTAAACAAAATGTTGTATTTTGTGACGAATTTAATTCTAAGAGCTTGCACAAGATCCTTTCCTTGCGAATTAAACAAAATGTTGTCGCTCATTTGGATTACCATTCATTAGGTTTAGGAAGGCTTTGAGTGTTCTTACATGAATTTTAAAACTATGAAAACATATTTTATCAACGACTGTTCCTGCGACGCTGATGAGTTTTTTCGATCAATGAATTTGATTAGCAGTTAATTAACTTGTAAATTGAGGACAGGAATTTTCATCATAGAGTTTGTGATTGCTACACTTGCACAATGCAACTAATGTTGTTCATTATTTGGTCCTTTTGCGAATTAAATTCCAATAAACTACATGTTGTTTCTGCGATTAAACTTTAAATTGTATCCATAAATAGTTAAAAAAGTTTCAAAACTTAAACTAAAGAAAAGACCGCTTATCTATCAAACTGTTAATGTTGGGTACAATAATACTAGTAGTCTGTAGAGGACTTGCGTGCGATAATATTTGAACGTACAAGTTTTTCTATTCGTTAGTAAAGAGTAATGATACACTTACCACCTAGTTGTATCATCATTTGTATTATCTCTCTAATATAGATATGGTCCGCCAACGCATGTGGATCTCATCTCTATTAGAAAAATAATACAAATGCTGGTACAACTAGATTGTATAAATACATATATAAGTGTTTTTTACTCTGAAAGATAGTTTGACGAAAAAGCCTACTTGTGTACATTAGTAATTTCATTAAAACATCTAAAGGGCCCAAATGCAACCAAACTAGGTCACAAATGTCGACCCACCAGGCCCAGGGTACACCTACAAGAATAAGCCCAAAGCTAAAATTCCAAAACTCCAAAGTCAACGAAAGAAGACTACTAAAGAAATATATAACCATTAATTAGCCTCTCTAGTTTGAATCCGGATACTCGCCGAATTCTTTTGTGAGGATTCCGCGATGATTTGTAAATCGTATCCGTTCAGCATATGGTTAAAAATTATTTTAAATATTTTTATTTAAAATTAAACACAAACATTATTTGATAAAAACTGATCACACGATATATAATGAACGAACACAATTACGGATTCTTAAGATCGTCACCAAAAACATTAAGAGAGGATCCAGTTGGCTCTCGTTTTGAGTCCACACAAAAATATATTATTTTATTTTATTTAAAAATAAAATAAAGAAGAAGAAGAAGACGAAATTGGTAACTAACAAGATTCGTTTCCCACCTATTGTAAGCGTCACCACTTCCATAAATTATTATGCAATTAGGAAATTTTCACAAATGGGATCTGACTTATTAGGAGTGTACGAAAACGTCACATAAGATTCTTACGTTAAGTTATTTAAGCGTCTTTAATTGGCGAAAATATTCTTCGAAAGCGATCTGCATATTATGCGGACGTTACATTTTGATTAAATTTTAATTAAAATAATGAATGATACGTTTTGATTAAATTTTAACTGAAATAACGAATGAGGTAGTTTGCATGTAGTCTAATTAATATCATAGAAGATAGGGCATTGAGTTTCTACACATGCGTCACGGGTTTGAAACTTTCCCTTATGTTAGTTTTTTAATAGTTTCGAATCCTGGACCTCTCTTTAATAATAATTTAAAAAAAAATGAATGAGGTAGTTTATAGTAAAACATGAGTTTGAGTTACCAATTGGCAAAATTCCTAGCTTTGACTAATATTTGCACAAATTCATTATAATTTAAAGTATGTTTATGCAATTTTGGGATATAATAATGTGTCTATCAAGCAAGAGTGTTGATCACGTAGTTATAAACAATAAGTAGGGTCCATTTCTAAAATGAATTACGTGCAACTAGAATGCCATAATAGTATATTCTAAACCAATCGTTCGACGAGAAATGCAAAACAGAAACACACGTCGTGTGGTAGGTTTAAAATAGAGTAGTCTAACTACATACTAATTTTTACTTTTCACACTTCTCTTAATTTTCAACCGTCTAATCGAATGAATTAAAAAAATCAATAAGTAGGGTCCATTTATAAAATGAATAACTTGCAACTATAATTCCATGATGGTATATTCTAAACCACTCGACGATATATGAAAAACAGAAATACACTTGTGGTAGGTTTTAAAATAAGGCAGTTACATATCAATTTTTACTTCTCACAATATTCTCTCAATTTTCAACCGTGTAATCAGATAAATTGATAAAAATCAATGAAAAAAAATTAGCAAAGAGTGTGTAAGACATAAAAATAAGTGTGAATATCAATATCTTTATCATTGTGACGCATTTTCAAACCAATAATTCAATGTGATGTGATAAAATAATAACGTTTTGAAACATGTTAGGCTCAAAAATACTGCTAATGCAGGAAATGGATCATCTCATGATTCTTTTCCACCAAATCCATCAAGTTGGGGATTCAGGCCGTTGAAATTTGATCCAACAGTTATAGTTATTATAACGTTTAAAATGAACTCCTGCTTATAACCATTAAATCAAATTTTAACAGTTTGGATTCCGAACTTGATTGATTTGGTAAAAAAGGATCCGGAGTTGCGTGTGAATCTGTCCTCATAATCACACCTCGATATGTCGTGTCTGTGTCGCTCTTACTCTTTTGCGCTTTCAGTTGAGTCTCCTTCTCGCACTTTACCAACGACAACTATATATATATATATATTCGTGGACCATCACAATTCACAGCTCTCCCACATCATCCCAATCTCTCCATTTCTCATCGCGCTTTCTTTCTCCTTTCCTTCCACGCTTCCTTCCATTCTCCCAATTTCTTTCTTTTGACTTACCCAATTCACTTCCCCGTTCCTCCGACCTTTCTTTCTTCCTCCGCGCAATCCCAATTCCCATCAATGGCGGAAGCTAACGGTACGATCCTTTCAAGACCCATTTTAAGTTTTACTGTTTTACTCATTTTTTCTTTGTTGGGTAATTCTTGGATCATGTATGTCTTAACAATCTATGGTGAATTGGGTATATGTGATTGGTTTTTCATGGGTTTGATCAGTTATTGTATGTGGGTTTGTTCTGGAATTTTTACTCTTTTTTTTTTGTGGTAAAACTTAAATCTTCTGAATTTTTAGTTTGAAACTATGGTTTTGGGATCGTTTCTTGTTCCGATTTGCAGATTTTCTTTTGGGTAAGTCTGGAATTTTGTGGATCAACTTTGCCCAGAAAATTGGTGGCTGCTTGTATATTGCAACTGCTTCCACTGCTTTTTAATCCAAGACTTGCCTTGGTTTTAGCTTAAGAGAGTAGAAAAGTATGTTTAAAATGGTAGTTCGACAGCAAAAAGATTCGAAAGGAGTACATTTTTTTTTTTTTTTGGGTTTCTGTGTTATTGATTGAAAGGATGCACATCAGTATGATTATCGGAAACACCCTGCTCCAATGGAGGATGGCTGTATAGGGATCTATTTCGATGAGAGAGTTCAAAGGAATGAAATTTGGATACTAACAATAAGACTAGCTGCGAAGATCATATAATCTCCGGTGGAGGATGGCTGTATAGGGATCTATTTCGATGAGAGAGTTCAAAAGAATGAAATTTGGATGCTAACAATAAGACTAGCTGCGAAGATCATATAAATCTCCGGTGGAGGATGGCTGTATAGGGATCTATTTCGATGAGAGAGAGTTCAAAAGAATGAAATTTGGATGCTAACAATAAGACTAGCTGCGAAGATCATATAAATCTCCGGTGGAGGATGGCTGTATAGGGATCTATTTCGATGAGAGAGTTCAAAAGAATGAAATTTGGATGCTAACAATAAGACTAGCTGCGAAGATCATATAAATCTCCGGTGGAGGATGGCTGTATAGGGATCTATTTCGATGAGAGAGTTCAAAAGAATGAAATTTGGATGCTAACAATAAGACTAGCTGGGAAGATCGTATAATTTCTAGTTACAATGTACTTGAAATGATTCTGAATAATCAAATGCAATTCCATGATTGGAATTTGAAATGACTAGGCACAATGAATCACTTGACAAAAGAATTAACGACCTAACGAGGAATGTAGTCTGCATCCTTGTGCATTTTTTTGGGTACTTCATTTGAACGTGGGTATTATAGTGCCAAATGATAGTTAAGAAGCATTATAGTGCTTTGTGATACTGTACGGACCGGCCATCCTTTACACATAACTTGGTTGACTATGTAGCTGTTGTAAACAAACTTGCTAAAAATGTGGAAACTTTGCATTGTCTTTGCAAAATCTGTAAGTTACATGTCTTTTGTCATATCCAGTAGTGGTGTCAAGACTTTTTCTCTCTATATAGGATCGCTTTTTGGGCCCTTGACTGCAATGTGATGGCATTGGAGCAAGTTTCAACCATGAATTACCATCCTCCTTTTCCTTGGAAAACCTGTGAATCCATTCAGTTTTACTAGATGATCTTACGCTTTCATTATATTCAGAGTGCAGTCACTCCTAAGATTTTTGTTTTGTGGAGTTTTCTTTCTCGTATTTCACTTGCCTATTATTCTTTTTCCTTTTCACCGAAATGCTAGGAATACTATGTATATGTATGAAAGCTTAAAACTGGTTAGGCCCTTGATTGTTTACAACGTTGTTTCCCTTAAATTGTTATCAGAAGTGCAGATAAGTTGTGGAACTTGTTGATTAATTGTTAAGTTCAGAGTGTTGTAAGAAATGTGGATGTCTGCTATATATACTTGGGAAATTTTGGGTGCTTTGGTTATTCATTGTTACTCCTCTTCTTTTTGGCAGTGGTGGAAACGCAAGATGGAACCCTTTCTGTGGCCGCTGCATTTGCTGCACATCAAGAAGGTAACACCAAACCCATCTTATTTTTCATTCCCATTTCCCCTTGCCCAGTGCACACAGAAAAGCAATGAAGATTACTTGAAGTATATAAA